CTGCTTGTTTTCTTCCAGACTGCTTGTTTTCTGCCCCGTGTATCTGTCTAGCTTGTGGGTGTACCTGCTTTGCTATACAGGAATGTGATTTGCAGCATGAATATCCATCTACCAGAATTTCTTTTCTTTGGCCCTATAAATATGTTATATAATTAGACAATTTCTCCCTTTGTAACATTTTGTGTGCGTGTGGTTATTACTTCTGTCTAGTCCATTTTTCCTTGGTATTTGACAGATCTCAATTTTGTAAAGATTTGATATAGCAAGTTTTAGTTATAAATTTTATTTTCAGCAAATGTCAGTTTTATTTTGAGTTTGTTTTTCCAAACAAATCTAATTGGGGAGGCAATTTTTGTATACTTCAGTCAGTGGGTAACAAAGCCTATTGTATGTCAACAGCATTTTGCTTTGGGTTCTTTCTACCAGAAATATGTATTATGAGTTGGATAAAGGTAATTGTGTTGTGAGGCAGAGCATTAGAGACTTAGGATCCAGAATAATTATCTTCAGCCAAAAACATTTGCTACTTGTCTGCAAGTTTCCTGGAGACATCCCCACTTTCTAGGGGTATCCAGTAAGAGCTTATTAATTTAAGTATGTAAGACTAGAACAAATTCTCCTCGAGGGTAAACTATAACAGCAAAACCGCTAAACTCCAAGGCCCTGATCTTATGAAAATTTATAAGAAGGCTTTCTCTTTTTTTCTTCCTTTTCTCCTTCCTTCCTCTCTTTGTTCCTTTCTCCTTTACTGTCATTCTTGCTTTTTGCTTTCTTGCTACTGGAAAGAGAATTTAAGCAGAGTAGCTATGTTTTAACAAAAAGAGCCCTGAGTTGGATTCATGCAGTCAGGCTCCAGTGCTGACTAGTTGTCCAACTTTGGGGAAGTCACTAACCCTCTCTAGGCCTCCATTTCCTATGTGCCAGACATTCTCAGTCCTGAACAGGACAGAGGAAAGTTAGGCTTTCATAGAATTTATATTCAAGTGGACATGAGGTGAACAACTATGATAATTGTAGATAATGATAAAATGCTTTGTAAAGAATAAAACAGGACAGTGTGATAGAAAAAGTGGGATTAGGATTAGATAAAATGTTCTGGGGTGACTGCTCAGGAAATGACATTGAACTGACACTTTGATGAAATATTCAGAAAGTTCTCAAATCCCTCCCCCTCTCTGGGTTTGGTAGAAAGCCAAGGAGACAAAGTTTCTGTTAAGGCTTCAAGAATATAAAGGAATCACAAGGTGCTTGGGTTCTTGAGATTAAAACAATGTAACAATGTATTCCCTGCCCACCAGGACTCAGTGGTATGGAGCAGCTTGTTAATCATAGTCATGGAAGCCCATTCGTTTATAATATGGTATCCGGGTAACCTTTACAGAAATAGATTAAAATATAACTAGAATCCTGAATACACCTATAGTGACCTAATAGCTCCTACTGCAAGTTTCTGGGTGCTGACTCCCCCCTTAACTTTGTAGTAAATGTATAAAAGGCACGACCCTGCTGTACTCAGGTCTCAGACCTTTGGAGATCACTCTCCTCTGAGACCGCCGGCGTAAAATAAACCTCCACCCTCCAAGACCTCTGAGTGCCACCTGGTTCTTCCGTCAGCGATCCAGTCCAGGCTTTCCGTTTTTCTGTAACAACTTGAATAATGAGAAGGAACCAGTCATGTAGAGAGATCAGGAAAGTTTATTTCAGGCAGAGTAGGCATCAGATGTTAAAGACCCTAAAGCAGTAATGAGGTTGACATTTTTTCGAAATGGTTATGGCCCTTATGCTAGAAGGTAGTGAGCAAAGGAGAGAAATGATACTGCAGAGAAGTTTATTCATTAGTGGCAAATTCATGAACATATGTATAATTCTGATTAATATACCCATTCTGTCAGAATTCTACTGACTCTTAGGAAGCCCCAGCCCAAGATGACCTATTAGAACGGCAGACAGCAGAATGCAAGGGACCTTTACTGCAGCACTGTAGACCTTCACTAGGCTTTAGAGGCATTTGTCTGTTAATGACTGTTGATTTCAGCTTGTTTGGAAACAGAAGGTTCTGCACTGTCCCATCCAATGGCCACTAGCCACATGTAGCTGTTTACTTTTAAATAAATTCAAATTAGATAAATATAAAAATTCAGTTCTGCATTCATACAGCCACTTTTCAAGTACTTGAGACCACCCATGGCTAGTGCCTACCACATTGGACAGCACAGGTGTGGACTGTTTGATCATCCAGAAAGTTCAACTGGACAGGGCTGTAGTAGGTTATTACTGGGAAGCTCTATCCATAAGCCTCAGGTCCTTCCATCTTCCTGAAGAATCTCAACATTTCTCCCACATCTTATTTTTTTAGTTTGAAGAAGGACTGACACTTCCATTTCAGACATAATGACAGACTAGATAACCTAAACACAAGTTGGCTAAATATATCTGAATATTCTGGATGCAAAACTTAAAATATCCTTGTGCTTACATTTCTGGCCTCTCAAGAAAACAAAATTTTCAGAAACGAAAAATGTGGGAACACAAATCAATGGAATGACAAGTGGATATTGAAGCTGAAGTTCTAAGAGTGACAGCTGGTGTCTAGAAATCTAGAGCCTTGGGCTTTAAATGTGATGTTTAAGACACAGGAGGTAACCTGTGTTTGGTGCAAGGTGAAGAATTGGAAAAGAACTTGACATAGAACCAAGATCTCTCAAAGTCCACCACCTCAACGAAAGGGACAACTTTTTTTATTTTTTATTTTTAATAATAAAACAAAAGCTCTTCCCCACTAAAAGAGACAAAGCTCCAATATCCTTCTGCATAACACAGAAAGATGAAACTAAAGTTTTTGTTTTGCAAATTACCTGATTTTCTTTATAGAAACCCAATAAAATGTATGGTCTTATGGAATAATTTAGTGGGTTGCTTAATGTTAGATCAATATGCAAAATAAATTTCAATCATCTCTACCAGTAACAGATATAAAATATAATTAAAAAATACCTTTTATAGCAGCAACAGAAAATACGTTCCTTAGTAGTAAGGAACAAATATAATAAAAGATGTGACTGACCAACATGGACAAGATTATGAAGCTTTACTGAAATATATTTAGAGACGTCAATAAGGGAGACATACCATTTTTATGGAGAGAAAGATTCAATACCATGAAAACATCTCTTTTTCATAAATTAATCTCTCAGTTCAATGTAAGCACAATAAAAATAGTAAGGCATTTTCCTGGAACCTGGCAAACTGAATAAACAACTTAAATGAAAGAGTAAAGGAATAAGAAAAGGCAAAGTGATTTTGATGAATAAGAGTAGGAAAAACGGACCTACAGCTTGTCAAGGCTTATTAAAACCCACAGTAAGTGAATAGAGATATAGATATTACTGGAAACTGATTGTTTTTTCTATTATACTCTGCTTTATCAAAAGTAAAACATTTAAACTGTGCTACAGAAATTCAGATGTTGTCTTGCAATCTTTAAACAATAAATAAATGATTTGCCCCTAAAAAAAAAAAAACCACAGTAAGTGAGCCAGTCAGTTGCCACAAACACAAATGGAGGAGCCCCGAGAACCCCAGAGGAGACCCTGGTATAGGACAATACATGACAGCAGTGACCCCACAACCCGGGAAAGGATGGACTAGTCAGTAAATAATGGCTATTCAAATGGAGAAAAAAAAAAATGGATCTCTGACTTAGAAGCCACAAGCAATAACAACAAAAACCGAATTTCTAGAGAAAAGCTGAGAATGATAAAAATTCAGAAAGGCCCAACAGGAGCAGCACAGAGATGGTAAGGTTTTGATTCTTAAACTGGGTGGTGGTACAGAGTGTACATGACATTATTCTTTAGTCCTTTTGTATATAATACAATTTATCATTACAAATATAAAACATGCAGATGGATTAAAGACCTAAATGTGAAATACTTCCTGAAGAAAATACAGGTGTGGGGAAGGATTTCCTAAATAAGAAAAAACATAAGACTACAAATAAGTAAAAGGTGTTATATTAAAAATAAAATTATTCTCTAAAAGATACTGTTAAATTGTCTTTTTTTTTTTAACTTCCAATAATTTACAGATAGATACTTAAATATGGAGGAATAAAATAATGCCTGGATTTGCTTCCAAGGGATCTGGGGGGGCAGAAATGAGGGTTATTATTGAACGGAGCTTGGCTCTGAGTTGGTAATTGTTCAAGGTGGGTGATGGGTATATGGGGATTCACCAAACTTCCTCTTTTCCTTTTAGAATATATATGTATAGTTTTTCATAAAAAAGGTAAAAAGAACTATATGACAATTGAGTACCAGATTTCACACACCAGATCAGCAAACATTTAAAAATCTGATCATTCTAAATGTCAGCAAGAACATGAAAAGGTGGGAACTCTAACACACCAATTTGGAAAAAAATTTCATCATGTAACAAAACTGGAGATGTGTATTCTTCACCCAGCTGTTCCCAATCCTGGCTAAATACCTGAAAATCTTGCTCATGGAAACATGTACAAAACTGTTCCCAGCCTCCTTGTTTGTAATGCAACAAACTGGAAACAACCAAATAACCATTTGTAAAAGAATGTGTGACTAGTGGCATACTGACATAATGGAATGAAAGTGAATTTACTGGAGTTACATCCATCAACATGGATAAGTCTTACGTAAGATAAAAAAAAGAATTTGCAGAATACAAACATTACCATACATACCATTTGTGTAAAGTATAAAACCACGTAAAAAATATGCTGTCAGGGATGTATGCATATGTAATTTCTTGAGAAAAGCTGAGAATGATAAAAGTTGAGAACAGTAACTTCTGGTGGGAGAAGAATGTAATTAAGGGCACAAAGGGAGCACCACAGAATTATAAGGTTTTGCTTCTTAAGCTGATGGTGGTACATGGTGTACATTACGTTATTCTTTAGTCCTTTTGTATGGGTATAATTCATTATTACAAAAATAAACTTTTCACAATATGTAAAATATGAAATGTTTTCAGTAAAATGAGACACATGGTTGGGGGAAGTGAAAGAGAAGTGGCACAAAAGTACACCTTGGGGAAATGAGAAATTCATTTCGGTTCAACAGCAAACCTACTGAGAACCAACAAATGAAAACCTTGGCCTGTCTTACAAGGTACACGGTTATCCCCCAAGAGAAAAATGCCGATCCTCTCAGTGCAGAGGTGAAGGAGCTACTTTAAGGGCAGGAGTTCTAGCCAGAGCCCTGGTGAGGCCCCAAAGCCAGACCGCTGGTGGGCGGGCTTTCGAGCCCAGGTTCCCGGGCTGACTTCCCTCCTCTACCCCCACCGGCCCTGCCACCGGCTCCTCGCTCCCGCCCCACGCACGCCCTCCCCTCTCCGGTCTATTCAGAACGGTTTCTAGGTTTGACCTTTTAGCACGCATGCAATAAGAATAAATACAGCGCAGTGCTGAGTGCGTCTTTCATGTAGTTACTGGGAAACAGAGCATTAGTAGTGTGGGTGTGAAGGCCTCGGTACCTGTTGTTTTCTCCTGGTGCCTGTTCAGGGCCTCCGCAGGCATCTGGGGAAACCATCCACGCTGAGCCACGCGGCGTAGGCTTCCTGCTCATTAACCAGATGGAGCACCTCTTCAGGAGGGATGCATCTGTACAGCAGTGCCCAATTCCTGGGGAAGCCAACTTAGGTATGTGCCAGCTTCATGTCCAATTTAGGCAGGAGGCAAACCATTGGTGACCATCTTGGTATCAGCATCTCCTACCGCCTCCAATTTCTGACTTCCCCATGGCCTTCCTGGGGAGTCCCCAACTTGCCCACGGCCCTCCTGGGGGAGTCCCCAGTTTGCCCACGGCTTTCCTGGGAAGCCCACAATAATGGAAGCCTAATGGGCAATCTGGTCCCAGGATCACATACAAAGCACTGCAAATGCTCGCTCCTTAATGCCTCGTCACATCTGCTTGAATCCAGCCCTGCAAGGCCCTGGGCTCTCTAATAAGTCTCTTTCCAGCTGTGTCCAACCTGCTGGGTCCCATGGTGATACAAGAGGTGTCAGCTAAAGGTCTGCAGATCTGAAAGAGACCAAACAGGATCACATGGCCTGTCACCCTCCCCTAATCCATTTTCCCCAGTGGGTCTCTGCCTCTTCTGCTTTTTATCTATTTTGTTTCCAAATCTACTGTAATATAATGCCCCTCCCCTGGATACAGTTATCCTTGGCAACTGTTTCCTATTACTTGTACCATTTTGCCTTACTAGACCAATGACCCTCCTGGCATTTTCCCAGCTCTTGGTGGACATCTCCAACCCGACCTCAGTGACCGAAACCTAATACTATGAATATTAATGATGATAATAATGGCTGCTGTTTATTGAGGACTTGATATGTGCTGCCTGCTAGGAGTACTTTACCTGTGCCAGGCCATGTACTGAACACTTACTTAGTGTAGATACTAATTTATATAGGTATATCTGTATATACTTTTCAGGTGTACAGTGTCATTCTCATTTTACCAGTGAGGAGACCCAGGCACAGAGGGGTTAAATAACTTGCCTAAGTCTTTTCCAGAGTGTTCATTTTGCACTCCTAGGCTATAGTGGCTGTCTCTTAAAAGCCAAAGCAGATCAGACACTGTGGCTGAACCCCCTTCCCTCTCTACCCTCCTCCCATGGCTTACAACGCAAGACAGCTTCTCTGACTTGGCGAAAGCCACCATCAGGGCCCCGGCCATCCACGAAGTACATGAAGCGCAGCTCAGCGGGGTAGGCGGCTCTGGTGAGGCCTGACATCAGCGGGATGGTACGGCCCTCTGCCCCAGGGGCCTCACTCAGGGCTTGCAGCATCTGGTACCTGCACCAAGGGTCCCGGAGGAAGCCCGGGGTGATGAGCAGCACGCGGCAATGGCTGCTGCTCAGTGCCTGGCACAGCTCGGACACGATGGCGCCACCTGGGGTTGCATCCCGGAGCTGCAGGAAGCAGCGCAGGCTGGCACTGCTGTCCTCCAGGTAGGACACCAGTTCCTGGGCAACCACCAGGTCCTCCTCACTGTGGCACACGCAGACATCATAGTCCTTGCTCCAGCGGCCACTGCCACTGCCACTGCTGGTGCCGCCGCTGCTGGTGCCCACGTGTGCTGGTGGGGGAGTGGGGGACCGGGCTGAGCCGTGGCCCAGGGATGGCCGGCGGTCCTGGGAGCTCGGCTGAGGAACGTCACTAGGGGGACTTCCTGGGGATTCGGGCCTCTTACTGGGCTTCTTCGACATTGCCTGCCTGAACCAGTCTGTGGGGGAGAAACACTGCTCAGGCCTGGTATTCTCACCAGGCAGCCTCCTCACACCCGGCAGAGAAGGGCCCATCTCCTGCACTGGCAAGCAACCCCAGCTCTGTAATTTTGTGCACCCTTCAGGGCCTACCTAAAAGTTCCCACTAACTATAAAGGTAGTGGCTTTAAAAGCTCTGGCTGTTCTGTAAGTCCTGGAGATGTAATATACAGCGTAGTGACTCTATTTTAATGATACTGTATCACGTATTTTAAAGTCACTAAGAGAGTAGATTTTAAAAGTTCATATCACAGGGAAAAAATTCTGTAACTATGGATGGAGATGGATGTTAACTAGACTTACCATGGTGATCATTTCATAATACATAAAAATATTGAATCATTATATCATACATCTGAAACTAATGTATGTCAATTATACCTTGATAATTTTTTTAAAAGCCTTTGGTATAACAGTATGAAAAGAAGAAAGAAAGAAATGAACAAACTCTGGCTGTTTACCAGACTGATTAGGAAAGGTGGCTTTGCTCTCTCCAGGCCCTTCTATTTCTGGCACCCTCAGCCTACCCTAACCAGAACTCACCACTAGAGCTGACGAGTCATCCTTTTGAGAGTCTGTAAGTAGAGCTATGTGAAGCTAGTAAGGATCAAGCAGACCCCAAACTCGTTTTCACCAGAGGGAAGAGGATTTAGATTCAGGGGGACTACCCATTATAGGAGGCCAAGATGGGGAGGGATGGCATCCGTTTGGCCCTAGCTTGTTGCAGAATGGGTAAAACAAAAGCTTGGAGGGGGGCTGCTACTCAGAGCTCCTGAGGGGTCAGGTAGAGATCTGAGTGTGGACTGATACTTGTTTTCTGTATGGCCTTAAGTCAGTCTATGTCTCCCTTTCCTCATCTGTAAAATGGGTTCGTTTTAGTTGTTAAAGATTAACTGAGGTAATGCAGTGTCTGGTATATTGTAAATACTCCATAATGATACCAACTCAGCTTCCCCGGATTTTGAAAGGGACAGACAGTTTGGTGTTCTGGGGAGTGACTGGTTTCCTCTCTCTGCTTGGCTCCCTCGCCTGAATTGTTCTTCTGGGGGATTTAGAGACAAGAGACACAATCCTAAGCGCTCAGCACAATGGTTTGCAGCCTGGAAAGATTAGCCGACACACCTGGAAAGCCCGTGAACAAAAGGGCGGAGGGTTCCACTGATGTGTACCATCTCTCTTCCCTTGCCACAAAGCATCTGGGCACCGAGGGCAAGGCAGGCCCCCAGCACCAGCCTCCCTGCTCTCTCCCCTGTGTTTGGGCCAGGCAGCGCTCCCACCTCGCCAGGAGGGATCCTGAGGACTCACAGGAGGAACGAGAGTGGAATGAGGAGTCTGCTTCTGCTTACCAGCCATCTTGCCCAGAGGCTTCCTGGGCCGGGAGCGAGGAGCTGGGCAGGAGGTTGACGATGCCATAATGTTGGGCTCAAAACTAACCTCGTGAGCCCAGGCATTGGTAATGCGGCAGAAGAGAGGGGACCCAGTCTTGACGTCATGAAACAGCCATCCTACGAGAGACAGAGGATCACAAAGGCAATGGGATGGATTTTCTTTCTCTCCTAATGCCTGACAGAGGCTCAGTCTCTAAGTGGGTCCCTCATCCCTTATGGGATAGGAACAGACACCACTGTGGCTGGAGCTGATTTCTAGACAAACCCAGATCCGTGCAGTGTAGTCAGACTTACAGAGTATGAGCTCAGCATGACCAGCAGAATGACGGTTCTCTGCTCCACCAGGGCCGAGGTGCATTCAATATCTGGGGAAGGGCAGCTGGCAGGCAGCTCTTTAGAGGGACTTTCTGTGGAAATGCTGAAATTAGAGAAGGACTGTTGCTTTTTGGACAAGTAATTATGTGTCGAGGTGACAAATACTGAGCAATACAGAGAGAGAGCACATGCAAGAAACCTAGAGAGTCCTTCCCTCCAAATCCCCTGAATACTTCCCTCCATCCACGCATCCATTCATCCACCCATCCCTCTCCTTCTCTCCTCCTTCCCTCCCTTCTCTTCTCCCTCAGCTGTCAGCTCAGGGAAGTAGTGTCACATAGTGGTGAAGACTACAGACTCACAGGCACAGTGCCTGGATTCCCACCTCTTATTAACAGGGGCCTTTGGCAAGCTACTTAATCTTGCTAAGCTTTACCTTTTCCATCTGTGAACCTGGTGGTCATTATTGTGAAGATTACATTAGATAATTTGTGTAAAGTGCTAGTGGCTCAGCATCTAATGCTCAGAAATTGTGTTAGTTAATATGAATTTAAAATAATCTAGATATTGGAGAGAGATACTATATTCACGGTTTAAGAGACTAAGTATTGTACTTAGTTCTCCCCAAACTAATCTTTAGATCAATGCCACCCCAAATTCGAGAAGGTTTTTGTTTTGCAGGGGAAGAGACTGTCAAATTTCTCTACATTTCTATGGAAAAGCAAAGGACCAAGAATACCGTAGATGGGCAGTTTGCCATGTTGTCTTCCCACCATAATGACCAGGATGTCCCTGATGGTGGAGGCCCTTCAGCCTAGGTTTCTGGGAGGCCACTAGGTGGGGCAGAGCCTACCCTGGTCCGAGATGGAGCCGCAATATTCCAGAAGTAATGACACTTCTGCAGACAAAGGGCTGGTGGAGAATGTGGCTCTGGAGCCGTGGAGCACATGGCAGAGGACTACTTTCTCACTCTGACAGACCTGTAGTGGCCAAAACAAACCCCTTGGAAACTCACACAGAAACAACTCATATTATTAGACGCACTGAAATAAGAGGTTTTATAATTTAAAGAATGTCATTCAAGGTTGGACAATAATGCTTCATTCACTGCTTGCTGCTAAACACTCATGCTGAGCTGATGAATCTAAGGCAAGAGGTACTGATGATTCATGAAAAGTTTAAGAAAAAAAAAAGGAGAACTTAAACTTCAGCAGTGGGGGAGGACAGAAAAGAAGAGGTGGAATGCTTGTGGGAACCAGAGATACATTTGACAGTGAAAAGCAGTTCATTGCTAAGCCACCCAAAGTGACACAGACGGTAGTGTGTATACGTTTCCTTTCCTCTCTGACGTTGTTTGCGTTTCAGACAGACTAAGTTGCCGGTTGAATTTAAAAGTGCCACATAACCACTGTTAGGTGTTGAAATCCTTTTCCTGGCTGCCTCTGCACATCTTCATTTCAACCGTTCCGGGTGTCCGTATTTTCCCCCCAAGAGTAGACATTATGTCTCTTAGTTTTTATATTAAATATGTTTTCAACTGTGTTTTTTGTTTTTTTTTGAGAGGGCATCTCTCATATTTATTGATCAAATGGTTGTTAACAACAGTACAATTCTGTATAGGGGAGTCAATGCTCAATGCACAATCATTAATCCACCCCCAGCCTATCAATTGTGTTTTAATTTTTAGGTTCTTAATTTGGCCTTACACTTACAAACTGGAGAAGCATTTGATATTTTTAATGCTAACCATAAATTTCTAAGGGTTAGAAATTAACACTTTAATCATTAAGAGATGTAGATTGAAAAGTTTCAGTTTCTCATGGTATGAAATGACTTGCCCTTCTGGTAATATATGCCAAATTTTGGTAATTGCCTTTTCATTGCTTGGTTAAGAAGAAATATAATTGCCCCACAGCATGTGTCACTAGGCGTGGGGTGGTATGAGCCATGTGACTAATGTTATGGAAAAATTTAAACACAGGAAAATTATAGCATCTTTGACATTGGAAAATTGGGCAAGATGGCAGATAAGTTCCATGAATCATACACACGGTCTACTTCCTGGAGCCTCAAACCCCACTGTACCTTCCTTGCTACTGTCTAGTTCTTGTACAGCACAGGGTGTGGAGGTATCACACTTCAATCTTTACAAGATTCAGTCATAGCCATATATCAAGATACAGGAGACATAGTCGTCTAACAGATTAGAAGATAAAGATCCCAAATATTCAACTGGAAAGTCTAATCACTACCTGTATATTCTCTGATTAGTTGTGTGGCCTTACATGTAGTCACTTTTCCTTGTGCCTTTTAGAAATTCATAAAGTAGAATGATACCCAGAGACCAGCTTTGTAGATAATTACAAACACTTAACAGAAAGTTAGCAAAGAGCTTCATCAAAAAAAGCAGCAGCCTGAGACCTTTAGTGTTTTTCACAATACTTTTTTCAATATTATATGCAGAACCTAAGAGTGGTCTCTAACTGACAATAATACATGAGAGAAATATTTTCATTGTATAAAATTCAAAGTGTTTTAAGTATTACCCAATATCTGTTTTCCAATATCTATTATATAGGGAACATCCTAAAACCTATGAAGGCATATGATTAGTATGTATATCTTATATAATTCATATTACATTTTTGTTAAGCTGGAATCACTATCTATGGCAGGCGGGAAAATGGTACCTCAAAGATGTTCACATCCTAATCCTCAGAACCAGTGAATATGCTACCTTACGTGGCAAAAGTGGACTTTGCGGATGTGATTAAGGATCTTGAGGTGGGAAGATTATCCTGGATTATCCAGCTGAGCCAAATGCAACCACACAGGTCTTATGAGAGAAAGGTAGGAGGGTTGGAATAAGGGAGGGAGAGGCCTGGGTCCTGGGGGACCACAAGCCAGGAATGCAAGCCACCCCTAGAAACTGGAAAGGGCAAGCACCTCAATTCTTCCCTAGAGCATCCAGGAGGAACGCAGTCTTGTTGATCCAAATGTGTGTCATATTCAGCGACTAAATTTGTGATAATTTGTTACAGAAGCAATAGGAAACTAATCCACTACCTTTGATTGTATGTCAGGCTAATGAATGGAGAAAGGACTGAATGTGCAGAAAACTGGTCTGTTTACAGGCTTAAATTACTTGCAAGTTTTTCACTTCTTTGCTAAATTAGTTCTCGCCTCCACTTCCCTTGATTTTGACTTTAAATTAAGGACAAGGGTTCCAAAGGCTAAGTTTTCTTCTGAAACACTTGCTGAAACACTTGGGGCAGGATTCATTAGGACTTGAAGGTCAATGTCACTTCAAGTGCTGAATTTAATTGTTAATAGCTTGACAGACGCAATACAGTGTTTTTAACAGTGGTTTGCAGACAGGGTGGACAGACCCTAGGGTGGCCCCTGTATTCACACCTGAGTGTGAGCAGGACCCATGAATTCTAACCAATGGAATATGACAAGGGAGTCAGATGTCACTGCCATGATTACATTAATTTGTATATATGTATGTATATACACGGGCACATCATATATAGTAACATAATCTTGAGTGTATATATGTATACACACAGATGTCGTATATTTACTATATATGAGATGCATATATAATATAGCACATATATGAATATGTGCACAGGTATGTATGTACATACACGTGTGTGGTAGTGTAAGTCCATCTTAGCAACCTGGAGAGAGACTCCCTTGCTGACTTTGAAGAAGTTGCCTTGTTGTGAGAGGACCAGGTGTCAAGGAACCGGGGGCAGCCTTCAGAACCTAAGAGTGGTCTCTAGCTGACAGCCAGCAAGGAAACAAGACCCCAGTTGTACAACTGCAAGCAGGTGAACTCTGCCCACAAACAGCTGGAGGGAGCTTGGTAGTGGATCTTTACCCATCTGAGTCTCTGCAGTCAGGTGAGACTCCAGCAGAAGACTCAGCCAAGCCTCGCCCAGGCCTTGATCCACAGAAACTATGAGATAATAAATAGGGGTTGGTTTGAGCTGCTACATTTGTGGTAATTTGCTAAGCAGAACAGAAAATGAACACAGGGCCCAACTGCAACAGTGGTTTAAAATGTCAGTTCCTGTGCCAAATCCTACATCTACTGAATTCAGTCTCTGGGCAGAAGGCTTGGGAAGCTAATTTTAAAACAGATACCCCAGGATTCTGATGTACACAAAGATTGGTCAAGTGGGCTACAACAATATTTCTCAAACCAAGCTGCAAATCATTGTCCTCTCAAGAGCTTTTAAAAAATACAGACACCCCTGGAAATTCTTACTCAGTAGTTGAGAAGTAGGGCCCAAGAATCTGTATTTTTTAAGAGCTTTCCAGGTAATTTTGATACAAGGAGCCACTAGTCTTGATTTATATTGTTACTTAGATTTATAAGCAGTGAAATAATTGAAAAGTGCCTGGCAAATTTTGGAACTGATTTTTATTATGAAATAAAATTCCAAACTACTGATTTTGCTATACAGTCTGATTTCAAATGGAACTCAAGCAGGCAGAAAAGTGCCATAGAAATCTGGTTCATTAACTGAAGTCTTGTCACTTGTATTACAATAAATCATACTTGCTGAATATATAGAAGGCACATATGCTGTCAGCACTACATTTTGTAAATTTTGAAGACATTAAAAAATGTCAAGAAACATACGTATGTGCACATATGCACATGTATGCATATAAGAGCACCCACTGTTTTAAATTTGATTATAAATCAAAAGTATTATTACTTTGGTTATTAAAATCTAAAACTTCAGCTGTATTTCAATCACATAGGAAAACCACTTACTGACTAAACATGAATGAGAAGCATTATAAATTAATATTGCTTTATTTTGCAAAAACTAGCAAATTGGTCTTTGAAAAACTTCAGTTTCTTAGTTTTAAAAAAGTCCCTTTGTTTTGAAACTCTATCATAAATGTAAAAATGGTCATTTTTAACTAAATGGATGTGAATTTACTTTTTATTTACTTTGCTGTAGGTCTCATGTAAATATGTAGGCATTGAACGTAATAGATTGTGTCCTCAGTGAATTTATAGATGGATACAATTTACAGATTATGCCAGTTATATACCCTTATACATTAGTCCCCTTTTGAGCTTATTAAATGACTACTTTTCATATATTTTTAAAAAAGGCTTTGGGAGCGTGGGATAGATAAAAATACCTCAAATTTTGAAGAACAATGATGAGAACTTCCACTACCAGAATAATGAAGAATTATAAAGCAACAGTAACTAAGGCAGAATGATACTGGTGTACAAGGATAGACAGTCTAATGGGAGCTCAGAGTGTCTAGAGACAGACCCACAGCTGTACAATCTCCTGATTTATGGCAAAGCTGGCACTGCAGGGCAGTGGGGAAAGATAAGCTTTTTAATACATGGTGCTGGGTCAATTTGGATGGCCTTGGGAGAAAAACTGAATCTTGACCCAAATCTCACATAATACAAAATTAATTTCAAATAGATAACAGATATAAGGGAGAATAATCATAAAGCTTTCAGAGGAAAATACAGATTATCTTCCTCAATCTCTCTGATTTTAAAAAACCGAGATATACTTGACATATAACATTATATTAGTTTCAGGTATACAAAATATGATTCCATATCTATATATTGCACATATGTATACATTGAGAAATTATCATCACAGTAAGTCCAGTTAACATCCATCACCACACACAGTTAAAAAATTTCTTCTTGTGATGAGAACTTTGAAGATCTACTCTTTTAGCAACTTTCAATTATGCGATAGAGTACTATTTACAATAGTCACCATGCTGTACATTACATCCCCAGGACTTATTTCTTACAACTGGAAGCTTGTACCTTTTGACCACCTTCACCCATTCTTCTCCCCTCCTCCTCCCAGAGTAGGCAAATATAAACTGAATATAAATAATTATAAGGAAATAATGATAAATTGGACAATAAAATAAAGAACTTCTATTCATCAAAAGATATCATTAGAATGAAAAAGCAATCTCCTGAGAGATACATTTTTAAAGTATAGATCCAATAAATGTCTCATATCTAGAATATTTAAAAACTCTTACAAACTAGTAAGAAAAAGATAATCTGTTGGAAACATGGGCAGAAGATCTGAACAGTCTCTTCATGAAAACTATATCCAAATGCTCAATAGACATATGAAAAGATGCAGAATTCATTAGTCATCAGAGAAATGCAAATTAAAACCTCAGTGCAACACCACTACCCATGCACTCAGCAGAATGGCTATAATGAAAAAGACAACACCAAGTATTAGTAAGGATGGTGGGAGTGTAAATCTGTACAACCACTTAGAAAAAACTGTTTAGCATTATATACTAAAGCTGAATGTAAACACACCCAGCAATTCCACTCCTAGGAGTATGCCTAATAGATGTGTTTACATATGTTCACCAAAAGACAAATACAAGAAAGACTTACAGTACTATGTAACCCCAAACTGGAAACAACATGTGCCCACCAATCCCAGTGTCCACTAGAATGCAGAAATAAATTGTGGTCTCTTTATACAGTGCAAAATCACACATCAGTGAGAATAAATGAATTACTGCTAAATGCAACGTAGGCGAATCTCACATACTGCGTATAAAATGCCATTCATTGTAAGTATGCACATACGATCCCATATGTCGAAAGCTCAAAACCAAATAAAACTCTTGTGATGTTCGAAGCCAGGAGTACAGTGAAAGTAGTGGGCGTAAAAGGGCTTCTGGAGTGCTACTAATGATTCATTTATTCCGGATGCAGGTTGCACAGAAAATGCTCACTGTAACTGGGTAAGCTGTATGCTTCTGATGTGTGCACTTTTCTGCAGGAGGGTTGTATTTCTTTTCTTTTGTTTTTTTTTTAAGTTAAATAACCAGATGTGACTTCCTCTGACAGTCAGTCATTCCTGGCGCTGCATGACCCCTGGGCTCGGGGTGTCTGCTGTTGGCCACTCTGTACCTCCCGTCTCTCCTGGCACTTACCTGGGTGTGTTGTGGTTTCTCGTTTACTTTCTCCAGGAGCAGGATGAGCTTGGCCCTGTTCCATGCTGCCCCTTCTAGCCCTTCACACGTTGCCCAGCTCAGGGTAGATGTGAAACGAATCTGGGAGGAATGCCTCTATTGGTCATCACGCTAAATAAAGCCATGTTCTTGCCGAACCCCTGTCACAAATACCATCAGAGGAGCAGGGCAGGACGTGGGGAGACTGGGAGAAGCAGTGCCTGCAGTTAGACTCAAACAAGCGGGCTGAGCCAGGCTCTTCAACCCAAGGCAAACGGAGGGCCTCCCTGCCCCGGCTCCTTGGCGACAGAAAAGGCGACCGCTTTCTCGGAGGGCCTTTCCACCCTGCTTCCGCGTTCCGGGCGCCAGAGGCGGCCAGGTAAAGGTCGGGCAGGAAGGTGGTAAGCCGGGCCGGGTGCCGCGGGGATGGGGCTGGTCCGGGCCGGCGGGGGTTCTTGCAGACGCGGGCGGCTGGGCGCCGGGGTCCCCCTGCCCGCCGCACCCGGACACCCGGCCCAGCCGAGCGCTCACCTGCTTGCCGGCGGCCCCGGGTGGCGGCTCCCGCGCCGCGCCCGCCGCTCCGGCCGAGGGAAAGCGTCGCTCCGGCCCAGCCGACCGCCGGCCCCGCTCCCCCGGAAGCGGCGAGGAGGTCAGGCCCGCGGCCCCTCCTTTCCCGGGCCGAGCTTGACCCTGGACCGCGCCGGGCTGGGCCGGCTGGGGAAGTTGCGACGAGGGGCGGCCCGGCTCCCGGCTGCACGGGGGCGTCCCCGCCACTCAAGGCTGGGTCGCCTTCTCTCGGTGCCGCCCCCCTGCAGGCCATGGGGGCGACGGTGGGGAAGCTCCCACCCTGCAGGTAGGGGCGTGGGCACCTACGGAGCTCCATCCTGGGCAGACGCCGGGACAGGAGTCCTTGCCCCGAGTTCCCCCAAGCTCCACCGAGAAAACCTGAAGCCTCGGTCCTGTTCAATAATGAGAAGAAACCCTTATTTCATTTATTTAATCCTCCTCACACCCTGCAGGAGAAGGGGTTTATACCTGTTTTGCTTCTTACACAATTGAGGAAAGTGATGCTTGGAGATTGATCTTTTCCAGAAGCCGCACACAGTTAAGTGGCACTATGGGTCCGGAATGCTGGAGAGGCAGACCGGAGTGAAGTGAGACCAGCGGGGACACCAGCTCCTGGCACGCTCTGCTGAAACCCACGTTGGGCGCGATGCCAAAGCCCTGCGATTTGCTCCTCTCCGCAGATTCCCCAAAGGGCATGCCTGAGCTCAGGGTGTTAGAGGGCTCGGAGTCCTGTTACACAGACGGAAGGGATTTCTGTAGCTCTTGAGATGCTGATGAGCACTGGGAAGCAGGGAGAGGCGATGTAACACGGAGCACTGTCCCAAAACCTCCTTTGTCCTTAGAAGAAATGTATCTGAGCAGTGTTCCTTGGCAGGCAGGTTTGGGAAACAGTCCTACAGCTTCTCAGGTGAAACGCTGGAGTGTGGGGGTAGTTTAATAGCATCTGTCTAAGATACACGATGTCCTCTTCAGTCTTATTGCCTACTTTCCCCACTAGCCAGCCAGAATGAATTAGCGGCTAGCCTGGGAGGCTGCACATGAAGTTCTCTGGAGTTGGATCAGGGGTTCGCATTCAGGGCTCTTCATTTATTTGCCTAATGACTCTGGGGGAGCATGTGACCTGTCTGGGGATCACTTTGCTCATCAGAATCAATTATTCGGTCCCTAGTGTTGTGTTAAGGAGTAGGTGAGATAAAGTGGGTGGGAAGTACAGGAAGGATTGTCTTTTTCAAGCACCCTCTGCTGTTCTCCACCTGGAGGACCCTCCCTTTTCCCAACTCTGCTCCAAATGCCCATTTTCGGGCAAGGCTCATTTTTGCAGCGTTAGCAGGACAACTTTTCTTACCAGCCCTTCCCACCCCCAAATCCCTAGGGCACTTTGTGTTCCTGTGGATTTCCTGCTCCAGTCAGCCCTCCCATTAAATTTCAAATTCCCTCCAGCTTGGAGCAGAGGCATTCAGGTAAAAAACACTGGCTGAGGGAGGTACAGGAGGCACTGAGAGCTCGGTGTAGGGCAAACGACGAAGGCTTGGTCCCCATCCCTCAGAGTCCCTTTAAGTCTAATAGGGAGGACACAGGTGCAAGGTTAAGTGCTCTCCCACAAGTCTGAATAAAGCCCTATGGGAGCACAGAAGCTTCATTAATTCCTTAATACGCATGGCATATGTTGTCCGTCCGGAAGGAAGTAGCTTCAGGCTGAGGAGCCAGGTGAAGGCCTTTCTCCTTCTGAGCCATACCTAGGAGTGTCTGTACTTAAGGAAGGGTGAATTCTGGGTATCTGAGGCAGCTAGCTTACAGGGTTAATGGGATGTGGCTTGGCTTCCCCCTGCATGCCTCTGGCAAGTTCCTTCCGGTCTTTCAGCAGCACCTTCTGCAATTAGCCCTCCCTCTTCTGCTCACCTAGTCCTGCTCCCTCCTTCTGTGACCTCACTGGCAGCACTTTTCTCATCTTCCCCCTCGTTCACCCACTGATAGTGAGGCCCACCTCCATCTTGTATGTTTCATTCTTCTCCCAAGGCCAATTTTGAGGGGGTGGGCACTTTACCTGCTGTCTCTACTCCATTTATTTCTCTCTTCTGAACTGTCCACACCTCAAACCCCAGAGGCCATTTTTTCCTGAAACTGCTCTCCCTGAGGGCCCTGCTGATGTACTTGATACTCAGTCTGACTATCTGGCGCATGTGCATTTTCACCACCGACCATTCCCACTGGGCTCCTGTGACACCATCTCCTGCTTCTCTGGCCACCTCATCAGCATCCTCTCCTTTGGCTCATCCCTTACATGTCAGAGGGGTCCCTCCATCTTCCCCCTTGGTCCCCTACTCTTCTACCCTGCCACAGTAATATCATCCTCTTCCATGATGTCCACCTCTCTACCCACAGCCTAGATCACCCAAGGGCCACAGTGAATTCAGCTCCTGTTAGACATCTCCACCAGATGTCCTACAGGCACCCTTGACTCAACATGTCCCAACCTATACCATCCTGTTAACAGTCCCTCACACTGCTCCAGGTGTCCTTCATCTCTATGAAAGGCATGACACCCATCCAGTTGTCGAAGCCAGAAACCTGAGAGTCTTACTTGACCACATTTCTTGCTATTACTCTCACCTCTTAGATCCATATGCTTCTTGCCATGGCAGTGCAGGTCTCTGTTGTCTCTGCCACGTAGACTATAGTAATTGCCTCCCATCTGGCCTCCTGCTTTGACATCATAATCTGTTCTCCACAAGGGAGTTAGTGTTATTTTTGTAAAAGCAAAATATGATCATGTCCCTTCCCTACTGAACACCTTTCAGGGGACCCCTGCCCACAAAGAGCCAGGCTCTGCAGCACAGCTCTTCAGCCTCTGGCTCCACTGCGCTTCCTAATACCCTCTTCTTTCTCTCCGCGAGCCCATCAGGACAAATCACTTGTAGTCTTTTGAATCTTGGCTCAGAGCCCAACTTCCCGGGGAAACATCATGGAGAAACACCAGCTGGGAAAAGGTGTCCAGGCCCTGTGCTTATTGCCAGCACTGCAGGGATAATACTACATCAGATCCAGGAAAGAGGGACAGAGAGGAAGCAAGCACACTCCAGTGAGGTCATACACAACGCTTTGCCTTCTGGTGTTCTCTCTATCTAACGTGTAGCCCTGGGCCTGCCCAAGAGTTGGAGCTGAATAAATATTGAATAGATGAAAAAACTTAGCCATCCCTCCCCTCTCTGACCAAACCCCTGAGGAACTCAGGAAAAGGAGGCACTGGCTTGCAAACAAGACGCCTAACACTAGGACCTAAGAACGCTGTGGGGAGGAGGTGGGTGTGTGCCCCCCAGCCTGGGATCAAAGGCTAATGGGGTGCTTCAAAGCAACTCCTGAGAGGTGCAAAGTGGAAGAGAAAGGACTGGAAGGAAGGAGTTCATTGCATTTATTGATTGATGAATAGGGTAAACAGACAAGTCAATAAACCTGAACCAAGCTGCCTCTGAATACAGCCTGCCTGGGCTCTGCTGAGGTCTGTCATGAGGGGCATAGGCAGTGTTTCTGGGTCAATAGTAGGAGGGAGCCAGTCATGGGCCATGGTGCTCAGGGTCCCCAAGGTATTCTGTCCAGTGGTCTGCCTTGGTGGGTGGCACCAGCCCAGGCCGGGATCAGTCCCACCTCATTATTCTGTTGGCCTAGGCCTCAGGCACAGAACCTCAGAGGCTACAGTCTGCCTGCCCGCCAGCCATGTGGGGGCAGAATGACCTGAGGAGAGGAGGGTGGAGGAGCCCCAGCATGGTATGGGGAGGAACTGAGCCCTACGGAGGACGTAAACATGGGCCGCAATTAGAGCCAAGGGCGACAGACAGGGTAGCAGTGGAGAGCCTGCAGGCTCAGATGATATTATGCTCTTCAACCTTCTCTCCCAAGTAAAAGCGGGTAAAGAGGAAAGGGCTCATATTGATGGTCTGGAAGTGGCCCTCCAGCACCATTTCTGCCACAGCTCGCCCCACGGCAGGCGCCTGCTGCAGCCCATGGCCACTGAAGCCCGTAGCAAAGTACATATTGACAACTAGTGGGTGGGGGCCCACCACACCGTTCTGGTCAAAGGTGTTGTAGTCATAATAGCCAGCCCACGCGCTCCGAACCTGTGGGTGCACAAGACGCCGGGGTCTCAGGAGGGCCGCCGCACACTCTGCCCTCAGTCCTGGCCGTGGATCAGAACACAGCGCCCTCTACCAGTCGCTGATGGGGCCGAGGGTATAGGTCCGCAGACCTCAGCACTTGTGAGATGCAGGGCATGTGGCAGTGGACAGGCTTTCTGGGGGGCCCAAGATGCTCCAGTATCATCTGTCTCCTAGTTACCTTCAGAGTCTCAAATGCTGGTACTCTCTGGGCCAAATGGGGCCACACCTTGTCCTGGAAGAAATCATGGTCGACCTCCAGGTTCCCTGGGTCCGGTTCCTCCTCCTGTGGTGAGAGGTGCAGACAGGCATCTATTGCCTGTGACACAAGGGCAGGCAGACCTCTGGGACCCCTTTAATCAGTCCCCTTGGTAGGTAGGGGGTGGGGAGAAGAGATCCCAATCCAAACCCGGAAGGGGCTGCGATACCAGTGATGGTTCAGGGCCCTCCAGACACCCTCACTCTAATTAGACAAAGGGTCTGTGCCCGCTTCCCAGCACCCCAACCCCACCTGGCTTACCTCAGTGGGACTACAGCCACCCAGATAGTTGTTGCCCAATCCTTCCCGGCGGAAATAGGCTCCGCTGAGGTCTGCAACAAATGGGGTCTCCAGGCCTGGTCCCCGGGGACAGTGCCATACATACACATACCTGCCATAACCAGCAGGGAAGGAAATGACAGGAAAGGCACATACCCTTTCCCCTGTTTAACAAATTCCTACATTGTTTCTTCCTTCTCCCACCAACCTCCTCAGCTGCCCTGAGGGAAGTCACCTTTTCCTTGGTTCCACAGGTAGCTTGGTGCCCTGTAGGGTGCCAGGTGGCCCGATCCCAATGCCAGCCAGCTCTGCGATATGCCCAGCCCAGGCCCCTGCTGCGTTGATCACTATAGCACACTCCACAGGTTGGTACTCCAGGCTGCGGTTCATCCTCACCTGTGGGCACCAGAGTCAGGGTGGGGAAGAGGGTGGGTCTGGGCCGCACACTGGGCATCATGAGAGGTGCGTTCCTTCTTGAGCCTCAGTTTACCCATACCGGAGGTGGGGAGGAGAGTAGAATGAGTTGTTACCTTTCTTGTCTCTCCTCTTTGGAAAGAAGATGCACAGGCTGGGAACTTACATGGACTTCATGGATCCTTCTCAGAGTCACCTCTTCCCCGCTTGTGGTCTCCAAGCGGTTAGATGAAGAGACAAAACCTACAGGAGAAGAAAAGCAGACAAACCCTTGAGGCCTTGAAGAGGAAGGAGGTGGGAACTCCACCGGTTTCATAAGGAAAGCGCGCTGGAAGACTAGGCACTTTCCCCCAGATCCTGAAGCACACAGAGGTAGGGGAGCCGGGAGGAGCTCGGTGGCAGTCGGAGCGGAAGCCGTGAAGCCTAGCTAGGAGCCGGAGTCAGAATGCCCAGGACCAGCCCTTGGCGAAGAGCCCGTCTCCCAACTCAGCCTAGGCCTGCACCCAGGCTGGCAGGGGAAACAAGCAGTGGGCACGGGCCTCAGACTCACGTGTCACCTCTCCCTGGCAGAAAAGGACCCCCATGGACTGGACCTTTCGCCGAAACCCCTGGAGCAGACACCAGGGGTCAAACCAACCTTCGTCCTCCATACCTGGGATGAGAAAAAGAGGACTCAGGAAGCAGGACTAGGGCCTCCTCTCCTGTGGTATGTGCTGCACCCCCAGCTCTTCGTTAGACCTCATAAGCCAGGGAAAGCCATGCTGACCAAATGCAGAAGGGTCAAATTACGTGGAATGACGGAGAGCTGGGTGGGCCCGGGAGGCCCTGCTGGCCAGGAGCGAAGCACGGCTCCTTGCCATGGCCTCAGGCTGAGGCACCCCTCAACCCCGAACCCCTCTGCAAGCAAGCCTCACCGTAAGATGCCAGAGCCACTCCCTCTGTGTTTATCCAGGGAAACTTGTTCTGAAGCTGCTCAGGAGACATCAGACAAACTTTGGCTCCTTGCTGTCTGAGAGAAAGGCGGGGTCTGTGCATTATGTAAGAGAGGCTCAGAGTGCAGCCTGTGGCGGCAGGCGGGGGAGAGGGGCGGTAGTGTGGTGTGGATTCCACCTCATTCATGTCGCTTCTGGGCCCCCAACCCCCCAAGTTTTCCTCCTTGCTCAAAGGGTAAAGACAGCAAGTCCTAGTGAAGGCTCTTCAGCATCTGACCCCTCTTCCCTGTCCTCTAGTATGGCCCCAGCATCCCTTTAGCCTCACTAAACTCCTGTCTTCCCCTAACTATTCCCTGTCCTTTCAAAACAGGGCAGGTCACTCTGTTCCTGCCACTCTTGCCTGGAATGACCGCCGTAAACCTCCTAGCACAATCCTGTTCACCAGCACAGCTATTGTCTTTGGAATGTTGTCTCCCAAAGGCAGCAAAGAAGGTACTAAAAGGACATACTCGCAAGCCAAACCACCTGGTTTAAATGCCAGAGCCACCACTTACTATTTCCTTGTGCTTCAGTGTCCCCACAGGTAAAATGGGAGACGGTCTGATGATTAAATCAGTTAGTATTCGTAATGCATTTAGGTTATCACCTGATGTCACTAGGGAGATTTTATAGAAGTATCTGTGAAAGATACGTACTCTTGACTGATCCTGACAATCACTGAGAGCAGGGTTGTCAAATTCAGCCTGCAGCCTGTTTTTGTACATGCATCAACATTCATCTACATTTTTGTCTCTGTCTGCTTTTCTGCTTTAACTGCAAAGTTCAGAGACTGCATGGCCTGCAAAACCTAATATATTTACTATCTGGCCTCTAATGAAAACGTCTGCAGATTCCTGGGCCCCTTCCTAGAGGCTTCGGTTTATTAGGTCTGGGATGTCCTAGGTGGTTCTTAACTAGCAAATTCAGGAACCGCTGCACCAGTACCTTCTCTGTATCTGTATTAAAGCACTTAGCACAGGGAACTGGAGACCTGCACGCGTGTATGTGTCCTGAGGGAGCTCCCGTCCACGCACCCAGTTCCTAACTCAGTGGTGTAGCTTACTGTGTGCATTCAGCTAACCAGCAGCTCAGGGATCCTGCCAGGCACCCACCTCTGCACTTTCACATTGCTTTCCATGATTGCAGCACCTTTTTCTGAAGCCAGCAAGAGATATCCTGAAGGGTTGAACTGGATGTCCAGGGGAGGGTCGTCAACTACAGCCAGGTACTCCTGTGTGCAGAAAAGAGCTCTTCAAAGAAGATGATTTAATGAAGTAGGGAGAGCTTCCCTGGCTTCCTCACCACCAGCCCCCAGGACTCAGTGTCCCAACCCACAGAGAAGCCTTCTGGTAGCTCAGCCACAGGGAAGAGCCAGGGCTTCCAACTGCTAGATGCCTGAACTACTCCTGCTGTTTCCCCTCGCCCCCTGGGCTACTCTCTGATCGGGGCTGAAAGATGAGACACCACCCAAAACACCAAATCTCATGCACATACATTGATGTTCCGTAGAAAATCGACTGAAAAGAGGGAGAGCTGGATGTTCTCAGGCAATGAGAACTGCTGACGAATCCCACCCACAGAAAGACCAGTGGAGGCCTGGGAGTACTGCGGAAAGACAAGAGAAGTTGAGGTAGACCAGTACCCTATCCCACGTGAGCAGGATCCTGCAGTGGAAGCCGGGGTCACACACCTGAGGTTAAAGGGAAGTCCTACTTGTAAGTCTATCTAGGAGGAGTTGAGGTGGATAAATCCAAATGGAAACCAATTAGCAGCCCAAATAGGACAATGATTATTAAAATCCTTCTTAGCAGATGTGCACAGCAGGGAAGTTAGGCATCTAAAAGGCTGGGCACAGTGGTACAAAATGGTAATGCCTCAAAGTCCAAGGGCAGGAGATTGACATTTGATCTACTATGTGGAAAATATAGGGATATGAGCAAAGTAGCAAGATTTGTGGCTACTGGGCAGTGGTAAATAGGAACAACTAGGAACAATAAAGGCAAAGCCTCAGAAATAGTGGAACGTACGAGGGGGCTAAGATAGCTGTTCGTGTTTACTACACGTTGAATGCAGACTCTCCTGGCTGGACCAGTGAGATCTCAGAAAGATCCAGTGTTGTGAAATCTGCTTACAAAAGCAAAAACCTTACTGCCAAAGTCCCTAGTTTGACAGATGGAGAACCTGGGACTATTTTTCAACAAGGTCCAAAGCACAGCCCCCTGCCCTTCGGACCTCCAAAGACTGAGGTCTTCCCTCTCCTCCCCTTGTCCCTAGGGTCCTCCATAAAGTATGAGTCCATGCCCCACCATAACTCTGCCCAACCCAAGGCCTTACCGTGTTGTCCCGTTCCACCACCAGCACTTGAATGGCACCTCGTCGCTTCTCCAGCCTCTTCAGCCAATAGGCCACAGACAGGCCAATCACCCCACCCCCCACAATCACCACATCTGAGTGTTCGGGGGGTAGGTGGCTAGTGTCATACAGTGGGTTCCAGGCCCCTCCAGGAAGGAATGACTGGATCTTCTTCTTAAACTCAGGCACCTTTCCACCCCAATCTGTGGAATGCAGTTATGGTCAAAGAGGGCCATACGTTCCCTTACCAGGTGGTGAAGAATTAGAGGATGGGTGCAGCAAAGGGTAGGCTAAATTGACACTGAGTTGGCTGTCCGCACTGTCATCCCATCTAGTAAGGTTCAGCTGGTGCCCAGCGGCATTCCACAGCCTTGCCATAGGCTCATATGCCATTAGCCTCTCTTCCTTCTCACACATCTTGTTCAGCACAAGATTCAACTTCTTACAATGAACACTCTATACTTTCTCCCTAGGCTAGGTGACATACACATATTATCTCCTGCTCCATCTCCCCCTGAAGCCCCAGGCTTATATACTTGACTGCACTGTCATCTCCACTTGGATGTTCCAGGCTCCTGGACCAAGGGGCCCCCTGGGTATACCCCATAAGCTGCAGTGCCTTCTGTATCATGGCACCTCACCTGGAGGTCCATCACCATAGCCAACCTTCATTCATGTCCTATCTATTACCAAGTCCTTGTTACTTTGCCTCCTATATATCCCCCTCATCTGTCCCATTTTTCCCCCCATCTCTGCCAACACCACTCTAGAGCAAACCACCATAATCTCTCGCCTCCTAACTATTCCCACTAATTCCCCTTGCCCACCCCCGACCCCCAACTTCTTTTCCACATAATAGCTGGAATGATCTTTTCTAAACACTAATTTAATCACATACTTTCTTGCTTAAAACCCTCCAGTGGCTTTTCATTTCCTTCAGGGTAAAAGTTCCACATCTTCGACCTGACTCAGGAGGCACTGCACCATTAGGCTGCTCTTCGCCGGTCTCTCCCACATTCTGGCCCCTTCATTCTTTGATGGCACCTTATCTCCTCCCATTACGGGGAATCTACACACCTGTTCTGCTATGAAACTCTGTCCACTTCTTTGCCTAGTTAACTCCTTGCTTCCTTTAGCTCTCAGCTCAGTTATCATTTTCTCAGGGAAGCCTTTCCTGTCCCCCAAGACTATGTCAAATTCTCCTGTCGCTGTCTCCTAATTCTTTTTCTGCATTCAATGTATTTGCAACTCTGGGTTTATTTGTGATTGCTTATACTCTACTGTGCCTACCTCCTTCACGACTGAATCCCTAGCCTAGCTCAGTACCTGGCACATCCTTAGTGCTCAGTAAGTGTCTTGAATAAATGAACTCTTCGTATTTCACTCCAAACTCCAAATCTCCATGTCTTGTCATTCTCTCCAATACTAAGTCCAAACTCTTCCCAGCACCATTTGAATGTTATCGTGATCTGGACTTCCTTACCTTTTATACTATTAATTGATCTGGACTTCCTTACTATGTTTTACACTATTACTCAAACTCTGTATCTAGATGGGTTTTGTTAGTTCCTTACACAAGAACAATGCTTTTCTCCTTCTAAACCTTTGCTGAGTTCTCCAGAACCTGAAACACACACCCTCCCTGAACCTTCAACGAAGTAAACGTCCTTCAAGGCTAATCTCAGTTCCCACCTGCTCCATGTACTTCTCCAACTTCGGGGACTAGCAGTGCAAGGCATTTTCCAAGTTGGGTTCTATCCAGTCGTGGACTGGTCTGTTGAAGTCTCTCCTTTCTAGCTATACTTCAGGCACCTCCAGCACATATACTGAATCCTCTCTTTCTCTTCCCTCCTTCATGGCCACAGCACTAAGCACAGCATCTTGCACGTGAGCAGGACTTTATGCTCATCTGTGCAACGGATGAATCAGCCTGGCTCTCTGCTGTTTTAGTGAGGCATACAATGATCTGGGATTTGAAACCTGAGAATGGCAACCTTGGTATCCATACAACTGCTCAGGTATTTACAAGTTCCGGTGGGAAATCTTACCCCTTTCTCCCACTAGACCCAGTCTTTCCAGCGTGGGCAAGGAGAGATCCCAAATCCTAAAGGTCGCATAAATGGAGATTGGGGAAACCCAGAACCACAATACCCTCCGCTGCCCTCAACTTTACCCAGAGTAGAGCCTCCTCTGCGTGTGCCTAGTCCCCGGGCCAAGAGGCCCCGGCCCAAGCCGAGCTGCAGCGCCCTTGGAAGCATGGCCCCCTCGGAGAGCCTCTCCCTCCTCCTCCCATTCGCACCTCACACCGTCCCGTCCCCGCCTCGGCGTCAAAGTTTTGCGCCGCAGGCCGCTCAAAAGAGCGCGCCCATTGGCCAGCGGCCCCCCGGGCCCCGCCCCTCCACGCTATACGCAGCTGTCTCCCCGTGACTTCCCAGAGCCCCGCCCAGGCCCTCCTCCCCCCGCCATTGGCCGGCCTGGCGTCTGCGTAGGTCCTGCGCGCCCTTGTGGGGAGGTGGGCCGGGAACCCTCTTCTGAACGGAAGTGCGGCGGAGCTGGTTTCCGGGGCTGTTGGTGTGACGTGTCCCGTGCTTGGCGCAGCAGGAAGAGGCGGCGATCGCGGCCTGAGTTCCCGGCGCCGGTCCCGGTTCTTTTCCCGCTGCCGCCATGCTCGACTTCTTCACCATTTTCTCCAAGGGCGGGCTCGTGCTCTGGTGCTTCCAGGGCGTGAGCGACTCTTGCACCGGGCCCGTTAACGCGTTGATTCGTTCCGTGCTTCTGCAGGTACCGCCCCCGCGGGTTCAGAACTCCGCGCTCATCCCCTTGATCCGGCCCAAAGCCCCTTCTACTGATCCCGCGCCTCCTTCCCGCACTCTCCTCCCACCTCAAAACTGGCCGCTCACTCGCCACCGGGACTCCACTTACTCCTCCCGCCCCCTTCAGACTGTCCCTCAACTTTGCTACGCCCCGTCCCCTTCGGCTTTTTGGGACTCTTAGCAGGATTCCGGCCCCCATAGTTTTCTCCATTCACCCCCCAAGAGCTTGGGTTTCTGTCATTTCGAAGGCCGGGTCAGATAATGGATGGAAAAATGCCTTTCAAAAACTGTACATAGTGTACAGCTGTAGCAAATCAGGTTGTTTATATAAGGACCGCTTCCCTATTGGCTCCCACGGTGTGTTGGCTTCCCTTTCACCTCTTTTCCCGTTTTCCCCAACAATGGTATCTCCCTTTCTCTCTGATGGAGCGCTAGAGTAATGCCCCAGCAGCCTCCTCTTGCCCTGGGAACAGGCTTGACTTTGGGGGAATATCTGGTTCTTTCCCAGAGGTAATCCTGGAGGGGCCCAAGTCTGGGTTTCTGGGAATGGTGTGAATGCTGAGACATACTCTTTTTCCAGGAAAGAGGAGGTAACAACAACTTCACCCATGAGGCACTCACACTCAAGTATAAACTGGACAACCAGTTTGAGCTGGTGTTTGTGGTAAGTGCAGGCATTTTAGAGGGGCAACGATTTCTTTCTCAACATACTCCAGGTTATTGAGAGAACCCTTATTCATTGCACCCAGTGTGTATGATGAAGTAACTGAGAAGACAAGGAGGGTGGAGGGGGAAAGGGAGGAAGCTCCTGGGCCCTATCAGAAAACTTGGCTGGCCCTCAGGTCAGGGAAACCTGCCAGGTGGCTGAGCCAGTCTCTGGAGGCCTGGGTTGAGTTGGTGTCCCTCTGTGCTGGGCCGGCATGTAAGCAGATCTGTTGGCTCTCTTTCTTTCCCTAAACAGGTTGGTTTTCAGAAGATCCTAACACTGACATATGTAGACAAATTGATAGACGATGTGCACCGGCTGTTTCGAGACAAGTACCGCACGGAGATTCAACAGCAAAGTGCATTAAGTCTATTGAATGGCACTTTTGATTTCCAGAATGACTTCCTGCGGCTCCTTCGGTGAGAGGCCTCCCCTCTCCAAAATCAATTTCCATGACTTGTTGTGCTCCCTTCCTTCCAGAGGGCAGTTCAAGGGTAGTAAATTGTATATTGAAGGACACTCCTAAATTTTATGCTCAGTCTAGTGTGGTCTTCTTGATGTGAGGGTCCTGTCTGTGGACTTTGACCATCCTCAGTTTCTCTTCAGTGAAGCAGAGGAGAGCAGTAAGATCCGTGCTCCCACTACAATGAAGAAATTTGAAGATTCTGAAAAGGCCAAGAAACCTGTGAGATCCATGATTGAGACACGGGGTGAAAAGACCAAGGAAAAAGCAAAGAACAGCAAAAAAAGCAAGGGAGCCAAGAAAGAGGGTGAGTTTGAGCTCCATGGACGAACTCGGGCATGCAGAGTTGTTCAAGTGGTTGGAAGTACTGATGTGGTGCCTTGTCCCTTTGTCATTGCTTCTCTCTCTTGTTCAAAGGCCCTGTACTCTATCACCCCCAGTCCTTGTGATCCCCAAGATGTTTGCTCCTAGTTTCCTCTTAAGGATTTGGAGAACTTTTTCCCATTGTCCATTTTGTTGGAATTTGGCCTTTTTCCAGTGAGTTTTCTCCCAACAGGTTCTGATTGCTCTTCAGCTCCCAGCAAAGCAGCCTCTACAGAAAAATCAGGTGTCCCAGCGGGGCCTGAGAATGGGGTCGAACTTTCCAAAGAGGAGCTGATACGCAGGAAGCGAGAGGAGTTCATTCAGAAGCATGGGAGAGGTATGGAGAGGTCCAGGTGAGCATCCTAACTTTTGCCATAAATACTATTTATCTACCATGTTGGAGGAAAGAGTTCTTGTCTCTGGCTTTTGATGGGGTGTTTCCTTTCCTACTTCGCTACCACAGCCATCTGTGCTGTAATTCGTTTTCAGCAAGTCCTCGAAGTCTGATGCTCCAAAGGAGAAGGGCAAGAAAGCGCCCCGGGTGTGGGCACTGGGTGGCTCTGCTAACAAGGAAGTCTTGGATTATAGCACACCCACCACCAACGGAGCTCCGGAGGTTGCCCCACCTGAGGACATCAACTTGGTAAGAGGCAGCAGGGGGCAGAGTAGCAGTTACCATGGATGAGAACTCGGGGAGGAAGTGGAGACTAGGAGGGCAGTACCTCTGACCTTCTGAACAGGGGAGGGGGTGTTAACATCTGCCTTCCATTAGAGGCAGAGCAGTATAGACAAGGCTTTTTAAACCTCAGAGCCCTCATGTTCCCGATCCATCTTCATTTCCCCACACCCCCAGATTCGAGGGACTGGCCCTGGGGGGCAACTTCAGGACCTGGACTGCAGCAGCTCTGACGATGAGGAGGCCACTCAGAACTCCACCAAACCTAGGTAGGGGACTTCCAGGTGGTGGGTAGTATGTGTCTTCAGAGCAGATGAGACTTGATATCTGCCCCTGGGTCTGTGTGTACCTGTGATCTCCTGTGCCTGCAGTGCTACCAAGGGGACTCTGGGTGGCATGTTTGGGATGCTGAAGGGCCTTGTGGGTTCCAAGAGCTTGAGTCGTGAGGACATGGAATCTGTGCTGGACAAGATGCGTGATCATCTCATTGGTAAGTTCTGGGGAATTCCAGGAGGACTTAAGTTTATGGGGCAGGGTTGATGGATAGTAGAACGACTTGTTTCTCAGTTGCACCCTAAGCGTTGTTCACTGTTGACATGGCACACACAACACACCTGTTCATGTCTCCTCAGCTAAGAATGTGGCAGCAGACATTGCAGTTCAGCTCTGTGAATCTGTGGCCAACAAGCTGGAAGGGAAGGTGATGGGAACATTCAGCAGTAAGTATCTCCCTGAACTAGGAGGTGCTCAGAGCATTATGCGTACCAGGTGGTTAAGTACGTTGATCTCCATTCTTTGGTGTGTAACTTGGCAAATTCCTTAACTTAGAAACCCCTACAGTAGATTAGTATACTAGAATTATTGGGAGGATTAAATGAGTTAATACTTGTGAAGTGCTTTGGACAGTATCAGATATGGTGTGGAATCCTGGAGCAAGATCCTTGTTCCCTTAGCTCAGAAAGGTGTTGGGCGTTCCTGGAGTACATTCCTTGGGTTTCATGGAGGCACCTCCTCCCCCCTTTCAGCGGTGACTTCCACAGTAAAGCAAGCTCTTCAGGAGTCCCTGGTGCAGATTCTGCAGCCCCAGCGTCGTGTAGACATGCTGCGGGATATCATGGATGCCCAGCGTCATCAGCGCCCTTACGTTGTCACCTTCTGTGGTGTGAATGGAGTGGGGAAGTCTACTAATCTTGCTAAGGTCGGTGCACTTTCCAGCCTGACACCCTTTCTACACTCTCCACCTCTCAGCAGTCCTAGTCACCTTTGTCTCTTGCACAGATTTCCTTCTGGCTGTTAGAGAATGGCTTCAGTGTCCTCATTGCTGCCTGTGACACGTTTCGGGCGGGGGCCGTCGAGCAGCTGCGTACACACACCCGGCGTCTGAGTGCCCTACACCCGCCTGAGAACCACAGTGGCCGCACCATGGTGCAGTTGTTTGAAAAGGGCTACGGCAAGGATGCTGCAGGCATTGCCATGGAAGCGATTGCCTTTGGTACAGTGCACCAGAAGTGTGGGACCTTCTCTGGGTCCCTGTCCTCTTTGGGTTCCCTTGGCATTTGCAGGGGAGTAAGGTTACCCTACTATCAACTTACTGATCAAGTCAGGATTAGTGACTTGCCATCCTCTGCTTTTGGGTAATGGGTATAGTTGCAGGCGAAGCTAATGTATCCCAACCAAAGAAACCTCTATTTAAGTAGTCACCTGTATCTCACTGCCATTCTTTTCCTGGATATGATTGATGGCCCAGCACAGACTAGTTTTTCTCCCTGTACTTTGTAACCAGATCCAGAGTCCAAAAAAGTGAACAGATAGGCTTTTACTATAGTGAGCACTTCTGAGAGGAAGCTGGAAAGGAGCATGACGACAGTCCAGTTTTGAGTTGACCACTGTTTTTCTCTCTAGCCCGTAACCAAGGCTTTGATGTGGTGCTGGTGGACACAGCTGGCCGCATGCAAGACAATGCCCCTCTGATGACTGCCCTGGCCAAGCTCATTACTGTCAACATGCCTGACTTGGTGCTGTTTGTAGGGGAGGCCTTAGTAGGCAATGAGGCCGTGGACCAGCTGGTGAGGGTTAGGGCCTGGTGCGCTTTCTAGCCTCAGTTTTAGCCAGTTAGGTGCTCATTGTCACCTTTCTCCTTTCCAGGTCAAATTCAATAGAGCCTTGGCTGACCATTCTATGGCTCAGACACCTCGGCTCATCGATGGCATTGTCCTTACCAAATTTGATACCATTGATGACAAGGTAAATATGGGTGACACGGGACAAAGTGAGACAAGGAGGAATGGCAGTCCTTCACAAGGGAGCTGAAGCTTGGATGAGTAGGCTCCAGAGCTTCCTGTTAGGGCCCTCCCTAACTAAAAAGTGGTCTTGAGGTGATTGGGTACCCCCTGTTTACACTTTAGGTGGGAGCTGCTATTTCTATGACCTACATCACAAGCAAACCCATCGTCTTTGTGGGCACTGGCCAGACCTACTGTGACCTACGTAGTCTCAACGCCAAGGCTGTGGTGGCTGCCCTCATGAAGGCTTAACATGGCTCTTGCCTGATACCAAATCACCGCTTTCCCCAAAGCCCCTATTCCTGTATCAAGAATGTGCTTTAGAGTATGTGAGCAACTTGTCTTCAATGTAGTGCAAAGGCAGAGGGAGGGACGCCCCAGGGTCTTGAGGCTCCTAACCCCACTCCCTGCCCAGCCCCACTGCCGTCTGTGGGGAAGGCCTAATCATGTGAGGGTGACTGCCCTCCGCTCCCTCCCCATGGTCCTCCCCCCTCCTACTCAGGCACCCCCTTCAGTCTGCCCACAAACTTGGTCTCATTACAGTTCTGACCCACAGCGGGAAGAGCCAGCACCTGAGCTCTGCAGACTGGTGTGCTCACGGGATGTCTGAGCATAACCAGCAGTTTGGAGTCCCGGTTAAGAGACTTCCAGAGCCAGCTCTGAGTCTTGAGCGGCACCTCTCCCTAGGCTAGGGCTTCTAGGAGCCAGGATGATGCCCACCACACTGTGGCAGTGTATGGCCTGCTCTCAATTGCTGCTAGTTCTGATGATGACCCCATCCTTGGTATTTTCCTAAAGCATTGACTAGGCCAGAGTGGTTTGTTACAAGTGAGTGAAAGGTGAGTCCCCGCTTCCCTCAGAAACGAAGCCAAGCTGCATTGCCACATTGGGCTTCTCAGCTCCCAACTCTTCCCGCTACTCAGAATCCAGATGTGAGCTTTGCATGTTCCCCTTCCTGGGAGAAAACTAATTTCAGAAGGGTACAGACTTTTGCACCCCCCACCTCCTGAGCGGATCCTGGCTTCTCATCCTCTCCACAGTGCCTGGTAGACAAGTGCTACATTAAAGAACACAAACCTCTTGTTAAGACTCGTCCTGTAGCTTGTATTACAGATGTGCTATTAGTGCAATAAGGTGAAGGCTGTCTGCCCAGAGAAATACATAATTTATATAAGAAAATAAATTTCATAAATAAACTGCCTTTTACGTCTCACAGTTATTTTATCTAGGATGCAAAATGGAAGTCCCACATCACACTAACTAGTTCCGGAGTTTATGGTAAGAGGAGAAAGCAGTAACTGGTAACACTGAGGAATCAGGTAAAAATAAATGGTTGTCATGAAAGGAGACCACCCACGGTGAGAGAAGATAGACCGAGTTACAAGTATAGGGTCTGTTAGTACCTTTGCAGGCTAGGAGTTACCTGAAGTGACTCTAAAAGAGCTTTTAAATGGGAAGTAAATGAACAAGCTTTTAATACAGCTCAATTATGTAAAATACTGTACACTGTAAAAGATCTAGAAAACTAGAGCTTCAAGTCATGTCTTAAAAAAGCCATTAAGCCTAATTGAAAAACCAGGTATAGAGTACAAAACTGCAAGGGCCATGGGAATTCCACAGCATCTAGAGCCCATCCTTCATGCAGAGCTGCAGCCAGTCAGTGGACGTATCACATTGATCTGCTGTGTGGACACAGGCATGTTCAGCTGGGGGTGGGGTGGGGGCTGCATTTGGGTCCCGTTGTCAGTTGGGTATCGTTGAACCGGAACAGGCCGCAGAAGATCAAGAACCAGCAGGCATGAAGGATTATACTGGAACATTTACTCACAACCTCCCCTTTATCCCCAACCTTCAACCTCTAGGTTTTGGTGCTTCCCAGGAGCTGTGTTAGGTTCTTGTAAGTTTACTGGTTAAACCCTGTCCGCGGTAAGGCCTTATAGCTTGGTCTACTGGCCGTGATTTCTGTAGCCCTTTCATGTACTACAGTCTGTGGAGAGAAAGAAAAGGTCGAGAATAAAACGAAGTTGTACAAAACAGGTTTATACATCCGAAACTGCAGGTATTTAAATCAAACTTAACCCTTCAGAAAACTAGACTTAAGAGATACTAGGAATTTTGTAGTAGACTTGATAGGAAAACAAACTCATAAGTAGGAAAAGTAAATCATTGTCTGAGGTCTTCACTAAGCTCACAAATTGACAAACAACGGGAAATGGTACCTCTTCCTTCACTGTGCTGCAGATGAGCCATTTAGCTGACCTCTCACCATCCCTGCTAAACAGAATGTTAACATCAGTATCAGAGCAGACCCAAAAGCTACAACTATTAATAACAAAACCAACCAACTACATGGAGATGAAAGCACGTGGTCTAAGGACGGCATTATTTAGTAATGAACACACTGCTGAAAACGAGGCAGGAGAATAAGCTGGATTAGTCTTCTGACTATTGTATTAAATAATGGAAACAGTAAGGTCCCTGAGCCCTGAGCACACAAACATTGTGAACAAAACATTTTACAAGGGCAGAGTGTCCCTAACTAGAATGCCAACCTGAGGTTAAAAAAAATTCAGTCCGACCAGGGATGGGGAGCAGCGTTCAAGTGCGCAGATTCAAGTAGAAGAAAATAGAAATCAGAAATAACACCAATTTAGAGTATAAATAAATAAAAGGTACAGCACTTAGACAAATTAGTATTCCCCTCTTAGAAAGCACTTTAGCAGAACCACCAAAATGTTCTTGCCATTTGATCTAGTAATTAATTGCAGTGAGAACCTATCCTAAAGAAATCACTGGCAAAAGAAAACACTAGGGATGAAGATCTCATTCATTCCAACACTAAACAACAGAAAAAATTAGAAATTCTCTAATGGGAGTCATTAGGTAAACTATAACATCCACAATGGATTATAACATTAAAAATAACAGTTATGGGAAAATGTATGATGCACCAGTGAGGAAGTACCAAGACATGTACATCTGTTTACAACTATGCATGACAAAATGCACAGGGGAAATCGCTAACTGGAAATATACCAAAATAACTTATGGTAAGAATTAGAAAATAATCATTTGTCTTTACCCCATTACCTCATTTTTCTGAAATGTACCAGATCCTAGAAAATATATATATATATATTTTTTTGAGAGGGCATCTCTCATATTTATTGATCAAATGGTTGTTAACAATAAAATTCTGTATAGGGGGGTCAATGCTCAATGCACAATCATTAATCCATCTCAAGCCTAATTCTCGTCAGTCTCCAATCTTCTGAAGCATAACGAACAAGTTCTTACATGGTGAGCGAATTCTTACATAGTGAATAAGTTCTTACATGGTGAACACCTAGAAAATATTTTTTGACCAAGTACTTTTCACTATGCAAAAGTGGATACACAGCACAATACCAGGCACATAGCAAACGCTCAGAGTTAAAAAAGAGCAAAAGACCTCTTACCTCAGAACAGTTTTTACCTACAGAGACTCAAAACATGGAAGACCCGGGTAAGCTTGACTGGTCTCAGAATGAAATGTTTGTAACCTGAAATTGCTCTGTTAGATTTCAAGTCACAAACTCGGCTGACTGTTCTAATAAAGCCCCCTGATCAAATTAAAAATCCTTGATTTTTAAAAATTCAGAATACCTCATGAGTGACAACTTAGGGGAAAGCCACTCTGGCAGGAAGCCTACGTGGCTAATAAAAGAACTTGTGCCACTCTAGAACACTTCCGATGAATTTTATCAAAAGATTTCATATAACAGGAACAGCTGTCCAGAGGGATTTTGATGTTTTCAATTTTAGCATCTTCCATGGGTAGAAGATTTCAGAATGCTGATCAAAAGAAGTATGTAGAGCTTGGGATGTGCCTCTCATTTAGTGAAAATAGAATATGCCCACTAGAAAAGCCTAGTGAAAGTCTTAACTGTGGGCAAACAGCAAAAGAATCTGAAACACAGCAGGACAGCAGAAAATGTAGCCGCAGGAAAGAAAAACTTTTCACAAAAGAAACTGAGAGGTTTGTCTTCCTAAGGGTTTTCTAAAGTCTTCTGGAGAAAGGGTAGACATAGTTTTCAGTGTTCAGTTACAGTGATGCCTTTTACAAATCTTGTTCCATCAAAGTATAGCCATGGAGTGATTCTCTCATTACAGGAGAATTCCACTTGAAGCAATCTGATTCAGAAAAGAAATCTGGGAATGATTATTAGAATTAGGAAAAGTTCTCTCTACATTAAATTTTCTGTAGCTTAAAAGGCCTGCTAAGCTGCACTGAGATTGACAGTGAAAATACATATTAAGATGTATCTTTTCAAGAACATATTCTATGGACAATGGCAAAGGTTCTTTGGAACTGGGTAATTAGTCAGAATGGCCAGACCCTGGGGCTTGGCTTTCTTCAAAGTAAAGTTTTCAAAAGCATTCTTCAATTTAGGATACCAAAAAATTTTGCATGTTATTAGGAACTTGCCTTGAGGCCATTAAGAAACTGGACCTTTATCCCCATTTAGCTTTCTTGTTAGAACTTCAGGTAAATTATCGAGTGAGTGGTACCCCTAACTGCTGACCTTAATGCCACCATAACAGTTTCCAAAATAGCATTTTTAAACTGTGGGTTTTTTCTGCTTATAAAGATAATGCATAATTATTGTAGAAAAGCTAATGAGAAACAAAATATTTAAAAAAAACACCTTTTCTACTGCATGACAATAACCACAGCTATTTGGTAAACATCGTCCTACATATTTCTCTATACATACACACAAATGAAAATAGAATACATCTATAATTTTGTATGAAAGGGATTGACCAGAGTTGATGATTTATGATCTTTTTTTCCTTCACTCACAGTATCATGTCTCTGACATCTTTTTGGGCATAAAACATTTTCTCTCTTTATGGCTTCAGTGTTTTTCATCAATTAAAATAATCAGTGTATTTACAGAATCCAACTTTTGCCATTATATACTACACTGATTACATTCCCACACCTATACCTTTGTGTAATTGGTATGTGTAATTGTGTAATTATCCAGTTACCTCCTTAGGAGAAATTTCCCTTAAGATAAATTATATTGAGTGGGATTTCTGGATTGGAAGTTTTTAAATTTCGAACATATTCCCAATTCCCCCTTCAAACAACCTGTACTAACTTTACTTTCCCACCAACACTACATGAATATATTTCTTTCTACACAGCCTTAGCCAAAACTCAGTTATCATTCTTCTCTATTTTGAAACCTAAATTCTAACTGCATTTCATTGATAACTCAGGTGACTGAACATTTTTTCATGCATCCTATTTCTACACTGCAATGCTGGATATGTGTGTGTCCATTTTCCTACTATCCAAATGGCATTTTAGTCTCACTTGAAGAATAACCAGGATCTCCCTTCATATTTTGGTTAAGATTATATTCCTCATCTTGGTAATAATTTTACCCACCACATATACATAAAAGGCTAAAGAGCTGCTGCTCTCTGATCCTCACAGTCTCAAAACAGATCTTACCTGTTCCACCCCTTGTGGAGATCTCCCACGTCAGTCGCTTGAAATATTCTGGAAGATCAGCATATTCATTTCCATAGGAGATGACTTTAATCCCTTTGTCCAGCATGTTTTCTCGAAACTTCTTGAACTCATCTATATCTCCTCTCCGAACCAGCATAAAATGTTCTAAGTCGGATTTATGCTTGACAGCTTCCAGGAAAAGGGCTTGGAAAGTGGTGTCATCCACAGTCCAGCCACACCCCAGGAAAAGAAATGACTTGTTCTCATAGAGTTTCTGAATCTCTCCCTTTAGGAAAAGAAACAAATTAATGACATTGTTAGGACACACACAAGGCATGTCTAAAACAAAAAAGTCTACAGGGTCTTAACCTGATTCATTTAGCAGACTGTGATGACCAATTCACCAAGATTTAAGAGGGCAGAAATGGCCTATGAAGGAACCTGATCTTATCATTTATGACTATAACTTGCTGATCAGTCTAAAAGTTTATCTTTACTTGGCATTCTCCTGTAGGCTCTCTACTCAGGGTTTCACCAGGGTGGCCCTGGTCTTCCGGCCTATTTATTTTTTAGATCTATGTGCCCAGAGGCTATAAGGCAGTGAGTAGTCTTCAATATATCTTACTCTGTCCATTTTCTGCACCATATTTGACTTCTTCATTTCACTAACTGAATCATGGATCACCAGAGAAGATAATTCCAACACCAGCTTTGCTCAAAAAAGTCTGACACTTAGAACATCAATATGAGTGTGTGTGTGTGTATATACATAGAAAAACATTAGAAATGATTTTTCTCAAGAGATCACTAAATGTCAGTGACAGAGGCAGTACATGTCAAGGAAAGAATAGGTGAAAAAAAGTTCTTAATGCTTTAGAAAACATCACATTTTCTTGGTTTTTCTTTTGCTTCATCATGTAAGATACTATCTTTCAAAGTGACCCAGTCCTGAAAACAGCCAGTATATATTGTTTTCAGAGCTTGGGGCCAGTGAATTTTCCCCACATATCATCACTTGGCCCAAGGGTGCTTCTGGTTGGAATATGTGTAAACAAGTCTAAAACTTGCATCCCAAAAGATCAAGTTTTTTTCACAAAGAAAAAAAAAATCTCCATTTTACCACCCTATCCAAAAGTTTTTTCAATTCTTTCCACCAAGCAGTAAGTATGCATAAATGTGGTAACTCAATATAAGCCCATCACCATTTACACAAAATCTCCTTAGAATGTATGTTCGAGTAGTGATTGGGCAGTAAAAAACTGCATAAACTATTTTCAGCATAGATTCACCAAAAGACAAAGAAGGCTAATAATGTATTCTTTGTATGTGAAGATGGTGCCAAAGATGGAGAGCCATCAGCTGCTGTCAATCACGAACAAAGTGAAATCCTACAGCTTGATACCTGAAGAGATGTTCTGTTCTACATTTCCTAAGATGGCACGTACACCCATAAACTAAGAAGCACTGGAAAGAATACTGGAACTTCCAATTTTAATTAATGAAAAGAAAATGTTCTATCTCAAAGACCAATGGTATATTTAGATGCTTCCCAGGAAGGCTTTCCCGAGCCCAGCAAGATGCGCTCCACTCACCATAACTTCAGTGTTCCTGAGCACGTTCTGATACCCAGCTGGATGAAGGACAATGCCACTAGGGTTGGTGTAGACCCCGTGGATGTGTAAGACGCTCAGCTTCCGCTTTTCCTGAGCCCACTCTAGGACCTGCACAACACAAACAGAACTCAACCGGGTTGGCAGGGCTAAGCACTTGCTTCAAGGTCCCAGGGGCCAAGGGGCTGTTTTGAGGACTAAGCTTCTGACATAGCTCTCCAGCTTCATGGTATCATAGAATGCAAAACCTGATGTGCTTTCAGTTTCCATTTCAGGCATGACTGTAAAGACTGATGGCAGCAAGTCTGGTGATTTCTCTTTGAAAGTAATAAGTCAAACATTAGAGTTTATTTGTTACCATCTGCAGAAACATGAGGGGTCCTTTCCACTGCTGATACACATGACAGCTATGGATGACTATTTCAGTACTGATCACAGAGATCAAGCTTCCTTGCATCCATGCCCTTCTGTAGTCCTTTGTCACACTTCCAGGTGTGAACACATGGCTTGCTCTAGCCAACGGGGTATTAGCAAACATGGCATGAGCAGAAGCTTAAAAAACATTGGCACAATAATTTTTACTTCTCTTTTGCTGCTTTTGGAATCCAGCTACCATGCCAGGAAGCATGGACTAGCCTGGTAGAGATACATGGCCTTTTAGAGGTGCGTGGCCCAGCCACCTTCCTGCACCAACAGGCATGGAAGTGAGGCCATCTTGCACCCCACTACCTCAGTCTGGCCACTGAACAACTGCAGCCGTGTGGGTAATCAGCAAAACCAGAACTGCCCACCTAAGCCTCTGAGCCCAACCGAAAGCACAGATTCACACTATCCCAGTTTTAGGGTGGTTTTCCATTCAGCAGTTAAGCATTAAATGAACCACTCAGTCACCTCTGGGTTACCTAAAAGGCTACTTCCAGTGTGGAACAATCATTTAGATGATGCTGATGTTAACACCTGGATTCCATGGTTCCATTTTCCCAAGAACTAGAGACAGTATAAATTTATTCTTACAACATTCTAGAGAAATAAAGTATGCATTCTTAAATAGGGTGGTCAGAGGAGGCCTCTCAAGGTAGGTGATACTTCAGGAAGGGGGTAGTGGGTAGAAAACATTTCAGCCAGAGAAAATCAGGCTTCATGGCACCATTTCTCTAAGTCTGATTTCCTTTTAAAACCTGACTTCACAGTCAGCCAAATCATCAGAGTGGTGTTACAGCTTCAACTCTGGCAGAGGCTGTATGTGCCAATGAATGCCGTGGGTGAATCGCTTATCTTTTCAAACACTATTCAGCTGGCCTCTAAGTGGAACCAAAGGCAGGCTCCTGGAAAAACATAGCATAGAAGGAAAATTACAAAAAGTACAGAGCAGGACAAATGAGACCTGGTGGTGTTTACAACCTGTTTGTTTTCTTTTCAATCATTATGTCTCTGATATCTTTTTGGGACAATGCAAACATTTTCACTTTTATGGCTTCATTGTATTTCATCAATTGAATAAATGTTGGTATATCTACAGTGTGTCCTACTGGAGCTAGATTTCAATTTATCAATTTAGGTGACCATTATAATAAAGACTTATCTCTTTAGTGGACATAAATCAACATCTGTAATTCAACACTGTCAGATGGTTTAGGTATAAAATAGGCTACATTAAAAACAAGTCGGCTGAGGCTTCCCCCGAATATCGACCTTACCCAGCTATCACTTGGCTGAAAGTTGTTCTCCAGACATCATAAAGTAAGTTTCATAAAGTAATTTTCAACATTTTCAATAGATGCCATGAAGAATATATCCTAAGAGAGAACTCTAAATTGGTATTACACCCACTTAATATTATCAAACATTAAAGAGCATCTTACAGTTCAAATTACTTCCCTATCATCTTGCTTTAAAATTGGATGAAATTGTCAAACTGCACAGACCTGAAAGTGTTTTAAGATCTGTGCATTTTACTGTCACTGATTTCTCTCTCAAAAATCAAAAAATAAAAACCCAACAAGAATCTCCCTTTCTGTCTCTACAAACACAACTGTACTACATATATAATACCCTAACTAGTAACAATTTTTCTGGTGAAGATACAATCCACTAGCCTGAAGAAAAGACTAATCCTCTACTTTTTACCTTTTTCTCATCAGTAAGGTCAAGGGATTCAAGTTGTTTTCCCTGGTCTGCTGCATACAGTTCCAGGAGATTATCAAAATTTGTCGTTAAGACCAGGGCTCCATTTTCCATCAGGTGGAGAACTGACTGAAGTAGCTGTTTCCCAGAATCTTCCATCTTTGACTCCAAGTCATCAAATACTTCATATAAACAGTCTTTGAAAAACGTGGATCGAACATTACTAGTACGCTGGAGAGGGATTTGAAAGAGAAAATTTATTCCTAGGTGTTTTGACAGGTCCTTTGTTTTAATTACAGTAATAGCAATTTTTTGAAGAATACTCTGTACATACAGTAAGATAAAATATTGTCTGCCTCACAGTATTATAGTAAGGAAAACAGGGGGATACATGCCAGGTGCTCAGCACAATGCCTAGCACAAGTCTTATTCCTTCACATACAAACAAGCATAATAAGCTCTCTAGGTGTTTTATAGAATGAAGAAAATAGGCCTGGCCAAGAGACGGATTTACCACCAAGACTAAAGGAATGCTGGAGTAGAAAACACAGCACCAACCACCCTCTAATTAGGCCTTGGGTAAAGAGAAATACTTTCTGCTACACTTGCCTTATGTAGGGAATAACCAATAAAAGACAGCTCTTAATGTAGTTTAGCATCTTAATGTAGTTTTTTTAATCCTAGATTATTTTATAGGTGCCTAAAGATTTAGGGAAAATTTCTTACCTTCTCCCCGCCTGTGTTCTTCCCTGACATAAGTCAGCAATTCGTTTATAGGTTTGCTAGGTAGAATACTCAGTATATAATAAAGCTTATCAACAATCTACATTTTGCTACATTTAAACCAAAAACTAATCAGTTCTAAACTCCTATTTATTTATTTTTTTACTTTTTAAATTTTTTTATTTTGGTATCATTAATCTACAATTACATGAAGAACATTCTGTTTACTAGGCTCCCCCCTTCACCAAGTCCCCCCCACATACCCCTTCACAGTCACTGTCCATCAGCGTAGTAAGATGCTGTAAAATCACTACTTGTCTTCTCTGTGTTGCACAGCCCTCCCCGTGCTCTCCCCACACTATACATGCTAATCGTAATGCCCCCTTTCTTTTCTTCCTGCCCTTGTCCCTCCCTTCCCACCCATCCTCCCCAGTCTAAACACTTCGTATTTCTTAATTTATAGTTTATTTCAATAAATATTTTGCCAGATTCATTTTGAACATGCATAGGTTATCTCTGAGGACTATGAGGAAGTATAGTATCACCCTCAGGTAGGAAGCTGGCTTTATAACGAAAAAGACAAAATGGTCCCTGGGACAAAAGGAATTTGAAATGGAAAAGTAACTATGTCAGGTGCTGTAACAAATAGCTGATCTCTATTCTATCCCTGCATACCACTTCATCAGATAGTATGAGAGCAACAGTTAGTTCTTAAACGCCCCTGTATTTCCCACTCAGAACTCCAAGTAATTACACTTAGTAGCCTTTAGTAGATTATTTATCTCTGGTTCTTCCTCAAAGTAGCCCCCCTTCCTGCCTGGTTTCCTCTGTATATCTTTCTAATAGCACAAAGCTCAAATAAAGATCTTTTTCCATGGAACCACGTGAAACGAGTCCTAAAACACTTTAATTTACCAAATTCTCCTGATTTTTCAAAGAATTTTCTAAAATTATCAATTCTTTAATTACCTATCAAATAAATGGTAAATATTGAAACAGTAGAAAAATTAGAGCACCAAAGGCAACACCTCTACCTCATGGTGGCACACCTCACAGTTTATCTGATTATGAGTCACTGTTCCACACATCTACTACCAGACAGGCTTCTCACTGGAGTGTATCGTCTGTGGGTTCAGGAACTAGACGGTACAACCCATAATTCACCGGAGGAAGACAAAGACATGGGTGGTAGTAAGATGTCGTAATGTACATGAGTAAATCTTTTACAGCACGACCCATAAGAATGTGGGTCATGTTTTTCAACTTTTGTCCTTTCCCATTACTTAATGGCATAAATAATTACATCACATATTAGCAGTTAATAGGCAACCAACTGGGGATTGTAACAAATAGAGTGAGAAACCTGATCAGAAACAGTGAAGAATTTATAAACCTAGTTACTGAATTCCACTACATACAAGAGTCAACTACTACTGAATACTGGGTACTTTTCCAGACTTGTTATTGAGAATATGGTGCCCCTTTACTGCCTATCAGAATTACAACCCATTTACCCTACCATCTTGCAATCCCATTTCTGGGAATATATCTCACAGATATAACCGCAAACAAATGAAATGACATATACGAGGTCATTACTGCTGTGTTATCTGTTACACTAAAAACTGAATACAAGTCAGGTACCCACACACAGGAGACTAGCATGGAAAGATGTCCAGGAATCACTGTGACAACAAACAAGATAGAGAACAGTATGTCTAGAATGCTACCTGTTGACGTGGGGGATGGAGGCAGTGAGGTAAGAATAAATATTATCCCATTTTGATTGTTTTTGCACAAAGGAACACAGGAAGGATACTCGAAAAGCTAGTAAGAGTGGTGACCTATGGCGGATGAGTGTGGGGAGAGGAGGTAGACAAAGACATGGGTGGTAGTGAAGATATCGTGATGTATATATAAGTAAATCTTTGACATCATTTTCATTTCTACCATGTGTGTAAACAGTACCTAAGCAAAATTAAGTTCAAAATGAAATGACGAATATGATTTAAAAAACTTCTTTATATTTGATAACTTCATTCTGTTCTCTGACTCATACACATAGTTACATAATACTATATTCCAGCACCAGTTTAATCACCTGGGTATACAACCAGGTAATTATGGGTGTGGAATATATTTTCTTGCTTCTCAGAAAAGACATAAAAAATTAAAACCTAGAAATAAATGCCCTGTGTCACTTGTTTTAGCTAACTATCTTTTAATCTTACTTCTTTATTATATCTTTCATACCCAGTTAGAAAGGAAACAAGGAGGCTTTTGTTGTTGTGCTGACTTCCTCAGACTTAAAATGAACGTATTTCTCTTTTGAAGCATGTGACCCTAGAACTGAACTTCTCACTAGTGGCCTCACTAAATAAAGACAAAGGAATGAAAACAAACAAGGAGGTCCCATGGTCAAAAGGAAATGCCAAACTCCTACACAAATGTATGGACATTTTCTCATTCATTTAAACAGTGAACTGAATCCAGTGCCACTTCATTTCCTTCCACCCTGTAACTCTCATGTTTCTGATCCACACACAGTAAAAGCAAAAAAAATCCTGACTCTTTTCACCAAAGTTAAATATTAATATTTAATGGGTATTTACTCTATGCCAGACACTTTTTATACATTATCTCACTTATTCTTCACAGGAGATAAGTACTATTTCCCAAGCTTTACAGCTGCAAAAATAGATTCTGAGGTGTTAAGCGATTTGCCTAGGGTCCCAGTGCAGGTAAATGGCAGAGCCTGAATCTGAATTGCTCTTTGCACTGAATGAGTGATGTCACTTCCTACTATAAGATGCTGGCTCAGTAGATGGGCCTATCAACCCTGACATATTACGGTTGCTACATTCTTTTAAAAAAGACATTTTCAGATATACACAAAAGCAAAAAGAAGAGTATAAAAAATCCTCCCGTGTACTATCATCCAGTTTCAACAATTACCACACATAGCTAGTCTTGTTTAATCCAAACTCCCTTTCCACCCCTATCCCCTGCCCTTCTCTCCTGCACTGAGTTTTTCTGAAGGAGTTCCTATTATTTCATTCAGATACTGCAATAGTTCCTTAAAAGACAAGGCTCCCCTTTATATATAAAATGAAACCCTAATACCAGTATCACAACTAAAAAATGCAATAATATTAATTCCTTAATATCAAATACTCAGTGTTCAAATTTCCCCAAATACGTATGCTCTCTTTCCTTTTTTTAAGCCTATGGGTTGCCTCTGTTTTTCTTACATATCTTCTAATAGAGGAGTTTTCAAAATGTAACCATGGACTCTGTGGATCCCTAAGATTCTTTAAGGGGTCTGCAAAGTCAAAATCATTTACATAATAATATCAAAGGTGATATCTGTCTTTTAAACTGTGTTGATATTTGCACTGATGACGAAAAGCACTGCAAGGTAAAACTGCTGGTGCCTTAGCATGAATCAAGACAGTGGAACCAAATTATGCCAGGAACCATTGTACTCTTCACTACCAAAGACTTAAGAGTAAGAAAAAAATCTTTCTATTCAAGAATTTTTTTGAAGTCTAGTTAGTATACAATATTATACTCGTTTCACATATACAACACAGTGACTCAACAAAAATTGTATTAATATACGCACATGTATTAATTGAGCACATGTCCTTTTAGTATTCTGTGTGAAGAAACAGGAAATAGGCACCAAGCACTTCGGCCGCAGACTGGAATTGGAGGATTGTCTTGAGGCAAAACACCAGTGTGATGATTGGAGCTGTCAGCAGAACTAGCCACCTTTTTCATCAAACATCATTTTTACTTGAAAAAATGACTGACAAACTATAGTTACTCAGATTTGGATATTCTCAGGTATTTTTGCAAAACTAAACGAACACAGCCTGTAATTTTGAGGAAAACAACTGATCATGGCTGCCATTGTTGCTAAAACTTTTGTCTGCCACCCTGAGTTTGACAGCTTCCAAATCAGTGATATTAATGAATGCAACTTTTTTGTTTATATAGTGTAGTAAAATGTGTCAACATCTGGAAGATACGTATAACTAACTCAGTGAACCAATTTTCCAAATAACCAATGTACAATGTTAGAAAACCATGCATGGGTGAAAGATTCGTTCTAAGTGCAAGACAGATTATGGATTTTAATGCAACAGAATAGGAAAAGTTCAGGTTCCATATTACCATTAATATGGATATGATTTGACTTCAAATTTCATATTGTTATTAATCTTGAAGAAGCCACTGCTGACTTTTTGGTGTAGTTCAATAATGAACTTACACTATTACTATTATTATTATCTAAAAAGGTTATTAAAATACTTCTTTCTTTTCCAACTACATATCTGTGAGACCTGATCTTTTTCATATACTGAAACTGAAACAACACAAACACACTTGACTGTTATAAAGCAGATATGAAAATCCAGTGTTTTCTATTAAACGAGACATTAAAGAGATTTGCAAACAGTGGAACAATATTATCCTTCTCACTAATTTTTTTTATTTTGGAAAATATAATTATTTTTCATGAACATCATACTTATGTTAAC